TGGATGTATTGCATGGGTATTAATACAGGGATTTCAAATATGGCCCCCACGCCGGAAGTGGCGTCACCTCGCTCCCGGAAATACCTCCTCGCGTACCGACGTGTTGCGTCACGCTGACACGTGACTTCCTCAGGGTAAATGCCCACAGAGGTAGGAAACTCAATAAATAGGTCCCTGGCACCAATCACAAGCAGGAGGCGGACCCGAGTGGCCATTTTCTCTCCGCTCACATATACCCTGCTCACAATCTCGCATACCGCGGTGACACTTATAACTTACTGTAAACGGGTTAGAACCACGGAACTTACTCCCGGACTATGTCCCTCTTTTATCCCCTTAAAAATCTCACAATGGGCCATAACAATAGCTTTATATTATGGGAACCACATACTCAGCGTAATATATAAATCCATATATACACAGGTTGGGGCACTCTAATCTAAATATTAAAAAAATCACCCATACCCCCCATTTTTTATTATATACAGTCGCAAGAAAAAGTATGTGAACCCCTTGGGATTACGTGGAGTTTTGCATGAATTGGGCATAAAATGTGCTCTGAACGTCATCTAAGTCACAACAATAGAAGAACACAATCTGCTGAACATAATACTAAACAAACATTAGATGTTACCATGGTTTAATTGCACATAACATGTAAACATTCACAGTGCAGGGAGGAAAAAGTATGTGAGGCCCTAGCTTAATGACCTCTCCCAGAGCTAATTGGAGCCAGGAGTGAGCCAACCTTGACTCCAATCAGTGTGATGATATTGGATGTGTTGCTGACAGCTGTCCTGCCCTTAAAAAACACACACCTGTTTTGGGTTTACTGGTTTCAAGAAGCATTGTCTGATGTGAACCATGCCTCGCAGAAAAGAGCTCTCAGAAGACCTACGATCAAGAATTGTTGACTTGCATGAAGCTGGAAAGGGTTACAAAAGTATCTCCAAAAGCCTTGATGTTCATGTGTCCACGATAAGACAGACTGTCTACAAATGGAGAAAGTTTAGCACTGTTGCTACTCTCCATAGGCGTGGTCATCCTGTAAAAATGACTACCTCATGCAGCATTCTGCGCTGTGCTCTTGCAAAGAAGAATCCCAGAGTGTCAGCTAAAGACCTACAGAAATCTCTGGCACATGCTAACATTTTTTGTTGACACATCTACAATAAGGAAAACATTAAATAAGAATGGAGTACATGGGAGGACACCACGGAGGAAGCCATTGCTGTCCAAAAAGAATATTGCAGCACGTTTGAAGTTTGCAAAAGAGCACCTGGATGTTCCACAGCACTACTGGCAAAATATACCATGGACAGATGAAACCAAGATTGAGTTGTTTGGGAAGAAACACACAACACTATGTGTGGAGAAAAAAAGGCACAGCACACCAACATCAAAACCTCATCCCCACTGTAAAACATGGCGGAGGGAGCATCATGGTTTGGGGCTGCTTTGCTGCCTCAGGGCCTGGACAGATTGTTGTCATTGATGGGAAAATGAATTCCAGAGTTTATCAAGACATTTTGCAGGAAAACGTACGACCATCTGTCTGCCAACTGAAGCTCCGCAGAGGATGGGTGATGCAACAGGACAATGACCCAAAGCATACAAGTAATTCAACAAAACAATGGCTGCAACAGCACAGAATACGCCTTGTGGAGTGGCCCAGTCAGAGTCCTGACCTCAACCTGATTGAAATGCTGTGGCATGACCTTAAGAGAGCGATTCACACCAGACATCCCAAGAATATTGCTACACTGAAACAGTTTTGTGAAGAGGAGTGGTCCAAAATTACTCCAGATCGTTGTGCAGGTCTGATCTGCAACTACGGGAAACGTTTGGTTGAGGTTATTGCTGCCAAAGGAGGGTCAACCAGTTATTAAGTCCAAAGGTTCACATACTTTTTCCTCCCTGCACTGTGAATGTTTACATGTTATGTGCAATTAAACCATGGCAACATCTAATGTTTGTGGAGTATTATGTTCAGCAGATTGTGTTCTTCTATTGTTGTGACTTAGATGACGTTCAGAGCACATTTTATGCCCAATTCATGCAAAACTCCACGTAATCCCAAGGGGTTCACATACTTTTTCTTGCAACTGTAGGTTTCTAGATATACTGTATAGTGCTGTGAAAAAAGTATTTTACCCCTTCTTGTGGTTTTTTTTTCATATTTGTCACACTTAAATGATTCAGATCAATAATATTAGTAGGTCTCTGCAAACATCATTTTATAACCCTGCCGAGTCATATAAAAAAGTGTGCTAAAGGATGCTTCCCTACCTGACTACAATAAACACTTTTCATGAAAACAATACCGTATGCAGTGCTGTGAAAAAAAGTATTTGCACCTTCCTGATTTTTTGCATATTGGTCACACCTAAAAAAAACTGTGGTTAATTACAGTTAATCTATGATTTAGCTGGGGAGTTTGAATTCCTTTTCCAGGCAGGTTTGGACAGCTTTTTTCCCTTAATGAATGAAATCGTTATTTAAAAACTGTATTTTGTATTTATTTGGGTCACAAATACGCAAAAAATCAGGAAGGGGGCAAATACTTTTTCACAGCAGTGTATATTGTTTTAATGGAAAGTGCTTGATGTAGTTAGGTAGGGCAGCATCCTTTAGCATGATTCAGCAGGAATACAAAAAGATCAGTACAAGGAATCATTGATATGAACATAGATATGAATAACTCCAGAGGGTGTCCAATAACTAAATATGTGTTGAAGGGAGTACTCTGGAAATGCAAAAGAGTTCAAATAGATATGATCATAGTTCAAATAAACATCAAGGATTATGACCCAGGTAACTCTGTTATTCACAGTTATATATGATTCAATAATGAAGTGCAGGATATAGGTAAAATGCGCACTCATCAGATGCGCATATAAAAAGCTTGTTGTATACAGTAAATGATGGTCTGTCAGGGATCCCTTCTAGGGTGGTACGGGATACAGCCTGGGGTTAGGTGGCCTTCATCTGAATTACAGGATGGTGATAAGCCAGAGGTTCCCTTTAAGAGACGTATTGATCAACCTCTTCCAGGCACTGGGATGTTCACCAAGGAAACTCAGGAGGATTAAAATGCTCAATGCTTAGCCGCCCGCTTCGCTCAGCCCGGAAACACACCGCAAAAATTCAAACTTAGCTGCCCGCTCCGCTCCGCCAATGGCGTGCAGCCAGCTCGCTTGTTTTCCTTGTACTGATTTATTTATGATATACCTTTTAGCGCTGTACTATTACTTTATTTGTTTTCTTGAAGGCATATGGTTTTCCTTTTAGTGTAATAGCTGCTTTTATCTAGCGCTCGCTGACTACTTATATACTTTTAGGAATACAAAAAGATTTTTGCAGCAACCTGTTAATATTTTTCAATTTGAACACGAGGTAGAACTTTAATTTTTTTTATTAGTACAAGCCATTAATGACAATTAGAGATGAGCGAATCAAAGTAGGCGAAGTGGAATTCGTTTCGAATATTAGGAAAATTTCGAATCGCGTCGAATCCGAAAATAAGCAGACTTCGGATGCGCGAATCGAAATTTTTCCTAAAATGGCGGCGACATGTGCGGCGACGGAGCGGGGATGTCTGGGAAGGCGCGCAGACAAGGCGCGCTGACCCATAATGCATTCATTCATGACATGTGATCGCATTAGCCAATCAGCAGCCAGCCAGCCAGCACAGTGTAATGGTCGAGCTATAAATGGCGGCCATTTTAGAATTCTCCATTTGCCTCCAGTCATTCAACCTGGCTGTATTCAGGGAGAGAGTTAGGGCCACAGAAACGTTACTTAGGGCCACAGAATCGTTACTTAGGGCCACAGAATCATTACTTAGGGCCACAGAAACGATTAAAAACATTACTTAGGGCCACAGAATTCTTACTCAGGGACAGACACAGAATTCTTACTCAGGGACAGACACAGAATTGTTACTGAGGGTTACTCAGGGACACAGAATTGTTACTCAGGGACACAGAATTGTTACTCAGGGACAGACACAGAATTGTTACTCAGGGACACAGAATCGTTGAATTAAAGAGTATGTCAGACAACATGCAGAGGAGTGGCAGAGGAGGCAATGTTTTAGGAGCGAGCAGACGTGGCAGCAGAGGAAGGGGTCGAGGCAGCACTATTCGCAGCCAGAGGCCAGTGCTCCCGGTGTCATCCAGTACAGTGAGGAAGAGCTAACAGAGGGCGGTCAGGAACGGGGGGAGACATCCGCCTCTTCAGCAGCCAGGCGAAGAAGTAGTGGCGAGGAGAGTGGCTCGGTAGCCGGTCTAGAGACAGGTCTGTCTCCTGACCCACACGCAGCCGAGGGGGCTAGTAGTGAGGCGGAGACCCTAATTGATGATGATGAGGCTGATCGCACTTGGCAGCCTCGTCGACATCAGGCTATTGCTTCCGCATCATCAGGAGAATAGGGTGGCAGCTTGGCAGCGAGCAAAACAGTCGGTGGGTTGTCTCCATCGCCACACTCTGCCATGTGCCACTTTCAGGTCTCCTCACACACTGCTGGTGTGTTCCATTTTTTGTCATAGGGAGCTGGCAGATTACGGGCCTCCCATAGCTGCTGCCAGGCCCCTAATCTGCCATGGGCCCCTGTACCGCCTCCTCATGCTGCTGCCAGGTCCACAGTGTCTCATGCCATGTGCCACTTTCAGGTCTCCTCACACTGCTGGTGTGTTCCATTTTTTGTCATAGGGTGCTGGCAGATTACGGGCCTCCCATAGCTGCTGCCAGGCCCCTAATATGCCATGGGCCCCTATACCGCCTCCTCATGCTGCTGCGAAGTCCAGAGTCTCTCATGGGTCCCTGTACGGCCTCCCATTGCTGCTGTCTCCATCGCCACACTCTGCCATGTGCCACTTTCAGGTCTCCTCACACACTGCTGGTGTGTTCAATTTTTTGACATAGGGTGCTGGCAGATTACGGGCCTCCCATAGCTGCTGCCAGGCCCCTAATCTGCCATGGGCCCCTATAGCGCCTCCTCATGCTGTTGCCAGGTCCAGAGTGTCTCATGGGTCCCTGTACGGCCTCCCATTGCTGCTGTCTCCATCGCCACACTCTGCCATGTGCCACTTTCAGGTCTCCTCACACACTGCTGGTGTGTTCCATTTTTTGTCATAGGGTGCTGGCAGATTACGGGCCTCCCATAGCTGCTGCCAGGCCCCTAATCTGCCATGGGCCCCTGTACCGCCTCCTCATGCTGCTGCCAGGTCCAGGCGAACGTAGTCACACAGGGAAGGAACTTCTCAGTGTAATGAACAGAGAAATCGACAGATGGCTGTCTCCGCGCAAACTGAAAATCGGAACCATGTTGACCGACAACGGAAAGAACATGGTGTCTGCTCTGCGTCAAGGAAGGTTGTGCCATGCGCCATGCATGGCTCACGTGTTCAATCTGGTTGTCAAGCGGTTCCTAAAATCCACCATCCCACTGCAAGACATCCTTAAAATGTCACGTAAACCTTGCATGCATTTCAGCCATTGCTACACCGCAAAGCACACCCTCCTTGAGCTGCAGCGGCAGAACGGAATTCCACAGCATCGCCTGATCTGCGACGTTGCAACAAGGTGGAATTCAACCCTACACATGGTAGACCGCCTTTACGAACAGCGAAAGGCCATCACCGATTTCATGATGTTACAAGCGGATAAAGGTACTCCCCTGTGTAACTTCGATGTCAGCCATTGGCAGCTCATGCGTGACACCTACCGCTTGCTCAGGCCCTTTGAGGAGGCCACGCTATTCGTGAGTCGGCAGGACTATGGGATGAACGACGTCATTCCTCTGTTGCACGTCCTGGAACAAATGCTGTTAACAATGGTGGTCAGGGTGCGGTAGACGTGGCGCACAGATCTCAACGCCACATGACCCCTGTGGGGGCAGGACAGGAAGAAGAGGAGGAGGTAGAGGAGGACATTTGTGCTCAGGAATTATTGAGTGAAATGGGTGGTTTTTCCACTCAGCGGACAGGAGTGGAGGAGCAGGAGCATCTGGTAGAGGAGGAGGAGGAGGAGACAGAGGACCCAGACGCACCGTGGCAGTATGCTGTGGAGATGGAGGCAGGGAGTCCCTCGCATTCCTTGGCACAAATGGCCCATAGCATGCTCGGTTGCTTGCGTAGCGACAGCCGAATAATAACCATCAGACAGAGGGATGACTTTTGGCTGTCCACCTTGTTGGACCCTCGCTACCGTTCAAAAATGGTGGCCTTTTTCACACCTGCTGAGAGGGAGGCCAAAATAACGTACTATAAAAACCACCTATGTAGTCAGTTGGTCTCTGCCTTTGTGCGCCAACGTCCATCCTCAGACACTGTGGGCCCTGTGCGCTCGCGTTCTGCTGCCATGGCAGCAAAGGAGGGGTGGGGTGGTAGGAGCAGTGGCAGCTCCACCAGCAGTGGCTGCCTCAGTCTGCAGTCGATGATGAGTAGCTTTCTTCACCAGCGCAGTGAGGAAACTAGTAACCAGCCGCAGCAGCAGCAGCATCAGGTGGACCTGGAGCAGGACCTCAAACAACAGGCTTGGGCCTACTTGGACAGCACCCTTCCAACCGAGGTAGACAATCCCCTTGACTACTGGGCAACGAAACTTGACCTTTGGCCCCAACTAGCTGAATTTGCCCTTGAAAGGCTGTCATGCCCGGCCAGTAGCGTGGCATCGGAGCGCGTGTTTAGTGCGGCAGGAGGTATTGTAACTCCGCGGAGGACACAACTGTCCACCCAAAGTGTGGAGAGACTCACGTTTGTGAAAATGAATCAGGCGTGGATTAGTCTGGATTTCAAACCACCAGTTCCTGACACAACTGACTAAATCCGCCATGAATCATGCCCCTGCAATGTGCCACTTTCAGGTCTCCTCACACTGCTGGTGTGTTCCATTTTTTGTCATAGGGTGCTGGCAGATTACGGGCCTCCCATTGCTGCTGCCAGGCCCGTAATCTGCCATGGGCCCCTGTACCGCCTCTTCATGCTGCTGCCAGGTCCACAGTGTGTCATGGGTCCCTGTACGGCCTCCCATTGCTGCTGCCAGGAGGCAGCAGTGTCGCAGCAGTGTCAGTGGAGGCAAACGACCACGGAGTAGAGCACCAGCTCCACTGCAGCCTACCACCACGGCCAGTAGTGGTGCCGGTGTGCACGGAGGAAGTAGCAGTCAGCCAGTGAGGAGTAGCGGGGGCAAAGTTTCCTACTCGGCAGTGTGGCAATTTTTCGTCAAGCCGCCCGAGGAAGTAAACGTAGCCGTATGTCGACTATGTGGCCAGAAAGTCAAGCGTGGCCAGGGGGCCCATGTTGGGACTACAGCGTTGCGTCAGCATATGCAGCGTCGCCATTCGGTGGCCTGGGAAAACCGTGATAAAGATATGGCGGTTCTGCCTGCCCCAGCCCAGGGTTCCATTTTGTCATAGGGTGCTGGCAGATTACGGGCCTCCCATTGCTGCTGCCAGGCCTTAATCTGCCATGGGCCCCTGTACCGCCTCCTCATGCTGCTGCCAGGTCCACAGTGTCTCATGGGTCCCTGAACCGCCTCCCATTGCTGCTGTCTCCATCGCCACACTCTGCCATGTGCCACTTTCAGGTCTCCTCACACTGCTGGTGTGTTCCATTTTTTGTCATAGGGTGCTGGCAGATTACGGGCCTCCCATTGCTGCTGCCAGGCCCGTAATCTGCCATGGGCCCCCGTACCGACTCCTCATGCTGCTGCCAGGCCCGTAATCTGTCATGGGCCCCTGTTGTCGCTTGTTGGCATATTCCGCTCGTTCTGATGCTCCTTCTCCTGCTACTCCTCTTCACGAATTCCGTCAGCAGTCTTTCTTGGAATCCGTTTCCAAGAGACAACAGTTTGCGAGCACGCACCCGACGGTGCAGAAGCTGAACGTCCTCCTGTCCAAGTTGCTGCTGCCAGGCTCGTAATCTGTCATGCGCCCCTGTACCGCCTCCTCATGCTGCTGCCAGGTCCAGAGTGTGTCATGGGTCCCTGTACGGCCTCCCATTGCTGCTGTCTCCATCGCCACACTCTGCCATGTGCCACTTTCAGGTCTCCTCACACTGCTGGTGGTTTCCATTTTTGTCATAGGGTGCTGTATGGCCCTCCCATTGCTGCTGCCTCCACCGCCACACTGTGGCTCCACACTCTGGTTTTTGGCCCCGTGACTGCCCAAATGAGTGAAGTGTGCGGTGATTCTAAGATCGACGGCACTCATCTGCATGTCATACTGACAGTCAGTATTATTTCTCTTCCCCAGCAGACTCCAAGGGCATTTAAATTAAAGGTACAGTGTTCTGCACTAATATAAAGGCTCTCTGAAGCCTAGAAACACCCTTTTATAAGTTAAATTTGCAGCGAATATATTCGACTCGAATCGAAATTTTTCCACGAATTCGCCGAATCAGTCGAATCGAATTTTTGAATACTTCGCTCATCTCTAATGACAATGTTGGGGTTGCCACTTTGATGTGTTTGGAGAGAATCCTGTAGGTTTTTTTGACGTATGGCCCAGGCAACTTCATGATCAGATTCACAAGGACAAATTTTTTTAAGCCATAATGCAGTGCATGACCTTTGAACTATAGTCAAGGTTTGATATTTTGAGATCTTCATTTATTTTGGGGATATATTGTTTATTTTGTGATGACATGCTCTTTATTTTAGGCTAACTACTTTTTTTCCCCAAGGCTTCCCTTTGAGCAGGCTTTTGTTTTGGGGGGAAGGTGGTATTTTGGGATTTTCAGTTCTTTTACAGTTATTTCATTTTTAATTTAATTTGATGGGACATTTTTTAAGTTTGTTACTGACCATCTATACTTAAGTTGACTTTTCTTCGCATCATGCCACTGCATTGCTTGACCTCACATTATATCACTCACATTCACCACACCCCCCCATCCTCATAAATAAAAGTTAGGGATACACTGGTTGGAACTACTATCCCTAAAACTGTCCTGTTGCTGCCCAACTGTACATGGCTGTTCTTGCAGTAAACTGCAGCCTGTGCTCCATTTCTCTAGTTAATTGGGTCTAGCTCTTTAGATATCCTGCTGATAGCCAATTTTCCATTACATCTGCAGTCTCTTAATTCTTATTAAAACACCTGCCTGTATTCTTTTTCTCTAGTACATTTTGGGCTATTATATTTAATGAAAACCTTCTTACAACTGACCAATGTTATGCTGTGCTCTTTGTTGCTAGTAAATTTAGGCCTTTCTTTAAAATTGTCCTGATGCTGGACTGGTCTCTTAATTCATGAAGTAAAATGCCTCCCTATGTTCTTTTTTTGTAGTACATTTCAGCCAATTCTTCCTCATTTTAAATGTTTTGTTGCTGGACAATTTTATACTTCTATATCATCTGCCACTTCTTATTTCTTAATTAGAACTTGATAGAAATCAACACCATGAACAGCTTTAAAGCATCCCCCCAAGTATTTTATTTAGAATAGTGTATGCAGCTGCATGAAAACAGTATTATACAGTACTTTAATTTTTTGCTTTGGCTTGCAGTGTCTTTTAACGGTACTGTGCCTATTAGCACTAAAATGGCCAGAATTTATTTAGAAATGCATTTATTATTATTACATCGAGTTTATATAGCGCCAAAGGGTTTGCTCAGCGCTGTAAAATAGAGGGGGGGGGGGGGGGACAATACATGAAACAGCACAGCAACAACAAACAGCACACAAGGGGTTAGAGGGCCCTACTCTTTCAAGCTTACAATCTGGGAGGGAGGTGGTAGTGGTACAGGAGGAAGTGGCTGTGGGGGGGGATGGAGTGGTGGGAGGAATGAGGGGGAATGGCTGTTAGGTGAGGGTGGGGTAGGCTTCCCTGAAGAGGTGGGTTTTGAGGGAGCGCCTGAAGGTGAGGAGGGAAGGTGACAGTCTGATGGATTGGGGTTATTGAGTTCCAGAGGATGGGGGAGGACCTGGAGAAGTCTTGCAGTCATGCGTAGGAGGAGGAGGCCATTTAGACATATTTAGAAAACAGCTTCAGCATTACTGATGTTTAACTAGAAGGTTCCCCTAATGTATATACTGTATTTTGTTACTTAACTGTAATGCTGTACTTGTAGGCAGGTGCAGGCTGTTTTCTCCACCGTAGGTGGTGCAGGAACTGAGTGGTAACAGAGCCTGGAGAGGACGCCTTAAGGAATCCTGGTTTCTCTATGGTTTGCTTGGACAATTGGAGTAGCATTCTGTAGGCTATGTGGCGGCCATGAGACCCTATGTGGCCATCTTGTGTCAGTAGGATCTATTTAAGCCCTGCCCCTGGGTTCTGGTGAGCATTTTGCTAGTGGCTAGTGTAGGGAGAGATACCCCGCTTTGTTATAGAAAGTAACTAGCAGTAGGGACAGGTTCTGATGAGGAAGGACAGGCTACGGACATGGAAGGAGCCTCCCCTCTTGGGACTGGACCGGCCAGGCAGCACTTCACCCTCTGAAAGAGATGCTCTCCTCAGCTACATCTGACTGCAATGAATTGTGAGTCATTTCCCTAGCAGCGCTCCCTGCCAGGGTTTTGTAACATTCAATACAAGTGTAGCGCTCCTCTAGATATAGTTAGAAGGGTCAAAACTTGAGTCAGGGCTGAGAAGCTCTGCAGGTCATTTTCCAGATACTCCCCCTGCTGTAGAATCTTGAAGAAGATTCTATAAAAGCAGTGGGTGTGTAGGGGCTGGCCTGCACACTTAGAGCACTCTGGCCAATCACCAAGCTGGAGGCTTGGCATGGGACCAGGAAAGCCTTTAAGTGTGACAGATACTGCTCAGCCTTCCTCATATCTTCCACCTGAACTTTCCTGCTGCTGAGATGCAGGGAGTGTGGAAGGGGGCCCCAGTGGAAAGAGGCCTACCTACAGGCTGGAACCTGGACAGAAGGATCACTTAGCCCTCAGTGCCGGAGGGAGGACTACCTGTGAACCCAGGAAAGGAGTCGGTCCAGCAGAAAGCCTGAAGGGCAGCCAA